TAGTAGTTCTACTGTTAAAGATAATCCGAAAATTTAACTTACACAATAGAGAATAGAAGGTTTAGATTAGGTTAGGTTAACAAAAGAATGATAAATTGACCATTTTGATGGTACTACTGTTAAAGATAATTCGAAGATTTAACTTACGCAATAGAGAGAGGATTTAGATTAATAAAAATTGGTCATTTTGACCATTTTAGTAGTTTTACTGTTAAAGACAATTCGAAAACTTACACAATAGAGAATAGATTAAGTTAGGTTAACAAAAATGATAAATTGGTCATTTTGACCATTTTGATAGTTCTGGCATTAAAGATAATTCGAAGATTTAACTTACGCAATAGAGAGTAGAAGATTTAGGTTAATAAAAATTGGTCATTTTAACCATTTTAGTAGTTCTACTGTTAAAGATAATCCGAAAATTTAACTTACACAATAGAGAATAGAAGGTTTAGATTAGGTTAGGTTAACAAAAAAAAATGATAAATTGACCATTTTGGTGGTTCTACTGTTAAAGATAATTCGAAGATTTAACTTACGCAATAGAGAATAGAAGAGTGAAAAGGAAAATTGGACCTCGCAAATGGATTAGAATTGAGATTAGTGATATTAAATCATTGCCCTAGCTGACCGATTTCACGTCGCTGGTCCGCCTCGATTTGAATAGCCTATTGCAGAACCGGCGTTAATAAATCTGGAATTTGCCGTCCATCGGGATAATGAGGAAATTATTCAGCGTTTCCTGTCGTTTTACGTCCTTCTTGAATCGCGAGGGCCGTCTCCTCTGCTCGAGGAAAATAAGCAACCGCATTCCATTGAATACTCTTCTCTCTCTGCTCCTTACTTCATTTTGTCGTATAATCAAATAGACAATTTCATAGTTAATTGTAATTTTATTATACGCTCGTGCACTGTAACTTCATTTGTACCTTCGTATAATAAATAATGCGTTCCCGATACGTGTGCGAACCGTTTGATGCAGAAGGGGTATAGATTTTTTCGTTTATTTAGTTTACGTATCACATTTTCAAAGCTTAATCGCCATTCTGTCATGTACAGAAGAGGTATGAAACATAATTTTAATAATGTCTCGCGCGAGGAAGACGTAACATTCTTCAACATTGTTGCGTTTTGGAAAATTTTACTACCTTTACTATCTTTACATTAAATGTTACCGAACTCTTATTTGCTCTTAATTGTTCTTTCGACTTACACCCGTTTGCGTCGTGGTGGCTCGTACAAGTTGAAAAAGTTTTCAAAGCGTCGTGAAGCTTCGAATTAAAATATTACGTTGTTAATTCTATGATAAATACGAACGAAGAGAAAAATATGAACGAGCAATTTGGTGGGCGTCTACTTTATTCGATGATTGCGCCAAAGAGACTCAAGGGTCTGAAGAGAACAGATTGAATCATTTGGAGCAGACACAGGTTGAGGTTGATAAACGAGCCGGCCGAATACGACAATCGTATGCTGCTTTTAATTAACGAAACGGTGGCCGAATTTTACGTAACAACGGGCCCGAATATCCAGGCGGTGGAATATGCAATGTGGCCAAGTGGCTCGTTACGTTTTCACGTTCACAAGTGGTAAAACCAACCGATGCGAACCTTTTGTTACCCGGTACCACTCTGCAACTTTTCTTCTTTCGTGCTTTGTCGGCTCCTCTCTTTCTCTTTCCTTCCGTATTACGTCAGTCTTGACACACTCTCTTTCTCCTCTCTCTTTCTCTCTAACGACGACTGTTTGAACATTTTCCCGCCAAGGAAAATAATTTCCAACGTACGTCTACGAAATTGAAAAATTCATTCACTCCGAGAGTCAGTTGCGCGATCTAGAGAGGTGATATCGATGGTTGATTCGATCGGTGTTCAAAAGGGGATATCATTGATCTTATCTAGACAAGATTGCGAAAAATAAACGAAGGAACGCATGTTTTACTTTAAAAGCTTAGCCGAGGTTTCTGATCTGTTTCAAGCGGGTCAAAGGTTTCTAAAATTGAGGAATTAACGATTATTAACGATAATGAAAGCAAAATGATTCGTGTTCTTCGTAAATGAAATTATAACACGATTTGTTTTGTTAATGGACACCGTTTCTTAAAAAAATTTAACAGATGAATGGAGAAATTATTACGTTCAAACGATTGGAATATCTGTTAGAGAATTGACAGGTTAACAGGTTAAAACACAGGTGTCATGTTTGGCATGTTTGCATCAAGCATCAGTCATTCAAGTGTGAACTTAATCCAGAGTTTAATGACTTCGCGATTCTTTTTCTTTCTCTCTCTGTCAACAGCGATGCTATTTCGTTACTCTTCAATGCCCCAAGCGTGTGTAATATTTCACGTGTTTCGACTCGAGAGACGTGTCTCGTGTATTGTAATACTTCCGTGATCCTGGCGCCGGATGTTTCCCGTTGGAAGCAATAAAACCGACTTGTTCACGCTGCGTTACCCCTCCTCCATGCTCCCCCTAATTTTTTGATACGAGACGCGTTCGGAATCGCTTCTTACTTCTTCTGATTGAAGGGTGTCTCGTTTGTGTCCTTCTCATCTCTTTGAATAAAGCATACACGGTAGGTTACCGATGGACCTTGTTACGTTAACTCGTTAACGTCGGCACGGAAATTTTGTATATTTCTTGCGCACAATGCAATTTAATGCTTATTTCACTGCGGTGTGTCGTAACGTGTATTTTACGTAATGCCAATATCATAAATATCAAGACGTCAATTGATATTGAAATGCAAATTGATGTCTTTCGCTGTGTTTCACTTTAATTTTATCAAGTGTTAGTTTTACCAAGTATATCGATCATTTTATTATATATCCATTATTTTGTTCTCCAATTAACGAGTGTAAAATTAAGAAAAAAAAAACGAGTTTATTACAAAAGCGAATGGAAGTGTTGATTATATTTACCTCCTTTATCAATTCAACTTGCCTATATTTTGTTTCGCGTTAATCAAAAATTCTACACAAATAATGGCACTTGTTCGTTGCCTTATCGTTAGTTTACTGTTGAAAAGAAAGTAGTTTTTCTTTCAAATTATATCATCATGATTACTATTTATTTCTCTGCGATAAAGCTACATTCTGTTCTCAATTTATTCCACGAGAGTCCAATTTTCACAGCATCAAAAGGAAAGACTTAATTGATTTTGTCAATCAACCGGCTCAATCGAACGTGTCCTTTTGCATTTAAAAGTTGTAATTAAACGTGTGAAAGAATGCCGTCCTGTTAATTGCACGGCGGTTCGCACGTCGTTTCCGGCAGCAGTGTTTGGTCATTTCCAGGATGTTCCTTCGACCGCTAAACAGATTTACAGAGTTACGGTGGCGTCGGTCGTCGCCATCGTCGTGTCCGGTTTTTCTCATTCGAGAGCCGCTCGAATCGGTCCCGCCCCGCTCATAATTACACTCATTCATCCCCCTGTTTTGTCCTCTTCTCTTCGCTCAATTACGGCGACGCGTTCTGACAAAAAAAAAAAAAGGAAAAAAAAAGAAAAGAAGTGTATTTCCCTTTTAATTTAGGGTTCGTTAACCGGCAAGGACAAATTGGAAAGCCGCCGATTCCGCGGTGGCGTTAAAACTTTTCGTTTCCATCCATCACCGCCAGACGTTTGCACGTCCTGGCTTTCTGAAATCGCCGGGCGCGCGACGTGTTGCTTGATTGATAAAGAGCGTTTGAGAACCGGGCTCCGCGCAGTAAACTTCGCGCAAAAGTGGACAACAGTCGAGAGAAAAAATTCCGTGACGCGGCGTATGTTGCTTGATGCGATAATTGGCGTGAAGAACGAGTTCCACGATGAAACTCTTTGTTTCTCTTCGTTA